TTGAGATCTTCAACCTAGCCATGCTGGCGAAGCAGGCATGGAGACTTTTACAAGATCAGGAATCTCTGAGTAGCCAAATTTTGAGAGTTGTGTATTACCCAAGTGGGGATCTGCTAGAAGTTGAACTGGGGTCATCACCAAGTCAAGTATGGCGTGCTATACTTGAGGGAAGAGATACCCTCAAGCTCGGGCTAGTGAGGCGGATTGGTACAGGAGAGACAACACGGATCTAGGAAGACAATTGGCTACCTAGAGATTTTAACATGAGGCCAATTGCTGCCAAAGCATTGAATCCTCCTGAGATGGTTTGTGATCTTATTCAGAGTGCAACGGGAACATGGAATGAAATAGTTCTGGATAATCACTTTCTTGATATGGACAAAGAAATTATATTGAAAATAACCATTAGTTCGAAGAGGCAAGATGATTTCTGGGCCTGGCACCATGAGAAGCACGGTAACTGTTCGGTTCGGTTGGCATATAGGATGCTTGTGGGCATTAAAAACAAAGAGAGGATTGGCTTGAACATAGAACAAGCAATTCGAATTCAACTGAAACAAGGAAGGCGTGGGTGAAGTTGTGGCATGTTCGAATTCCTACTAAGGTGCGGATGTTCACATGGCGACTAGCAAAGATGTCTACTGCTACAGGAGAAGTCCGTGCCCATAGGAACATGGCCACTGATGATACGTGTCCAATTTGTAATGCGGTTGTCGACACATGGGGACATGCTCTGATTGAGTGCAAGATGTCAAGAGCAGTCTGGGCTTTAGCCGATGTTGAGGTGGTTGAGCACCTGATTATGAACCGGACGGATGATGCTCGGTTATGGATTTTTTTGGCTTTTTGACACGATGAAAGAAAACGAAATGGCTATGGCGCTTGTCACCCTTTGGTCGATTTGGTGGGCACGAAGAAGAGCTATTCATGATGAAGAGTTTCAGAATCCTGTTTCCACTCTTGGTTTTATCACAAAGTACTTAGAAGAAATTGAGGTGCCCATGAAATAGAAGAGAGCAATGAAACCTGAAGCACATGAAGCGAGGCATAGCAGGTTGTGGAGTCCTCTGAAGCCTGGTTTGTGCAAGGTGAATGTTGATGGAGGATTGTCCAGGGACGGTCGAAGAGGCGCAACAACAGCAATTTGTCGTGATGAGCACGAACATTTTTTGGGTGCTTCCGCTGTTGTTTTGAATGGCCAGGCAAATTCAACATGTCTGAAGCTATAGCATGCAATGAAGGTTTTGCTCTTGCCCAAGATCTCGATATTAGGAAGATAAAAGTTGCCTCGGATTGGCTGGAAGTTGTCACTAATTTTCAGAAGAAGGCGAAATGCTCATACTCGATGATTTTGCGAGAAGTGGAGGATAAGGCTAAATTGTTTACTCTAGTGGAAGTGGTGCATGAGTATAGGGAGTTCGTAGTAGATGCTCATAGGTTAGCAAAGGCTGCGTCGTCCTTAAGCGCAGGCCGTTATATTTGGCTGGATTCTTTATCAGATATCTGTAACACACCTTTGAATGTTTCGATTAAATAAAGAATCTTTTGTCCCTAAAAAACGAAGACCAACGAGGGGAGAAACATGAAACGGACCAAAGCGAAGACGACGTATCAAAAAAGATCAAATTATGGGAGAAGGAAGCAATAGCCCTTTTATTATTAGAAAAAATTAATATTACTATTATTATTATTTCTATTTTTTAATTCTCTGTTTATATAGGAGCATGGACTGACACTTTCGAGCTCACAGACGATATCCCGTCCCTCTCTCTCGCCTCCCCCTCCACTTGCGCAAAACCCAACCCAGAACCCCAAAACCCTCGCCGTTCGCCTCAAATCCACCACCATTTCTCCAAATTTCAGCTCACCCCCTTCCGAATTCGGCTTGGTTTCCAATCCACATATGGAGCTGCAGCTCACTCCCCTCCGCTGCCTCCCACTCCACTACCGCACCACCACCAAAGCCACGGCCACGGCAACGACCAACACCGTCTCCGCATGCTCGGTGGAATCCCAAGCGCTCAAGCCACGCCCGCAGCTCCCACGGCAGGCGCCCTTCCGCAGCCGCAGGCGCGGCAGCCCCGTCCATCTCCCTTCCCTCTGCGCCGCCATCGAGCGGCTGGTCGCCGAGGGGCGTCACCGGGAGGCTTGCGACGCGCTCCGGGACGCTCGCGCGGGCGCCCCCTTCGTGGCTCTGCCAGCGTCCACCTATGAGGCGCTGGTCACGGCCGCCTCCGCGTTGCGGGAGGCCGGTTCCGCGGCAGGGGTACTCTGGCACATGGAGAGCTCCGGGTTCCAGCCCGACCAGTACATGTGGAACCGAGTGCTGGGCATGTATTTGGTGTGCGGGATGCTCGCGGAGGCGCGCGAGGTGTTCGATGGAATGCCGACCAGGAGCCGGGTCACCTGGGGGGTGATGATGGGCGGGCTGGTTGATGCGAAGCGTCCCCGTGGGGCGCTGGCGCTGTTCGGGGAGCTCTGGGAGGAGGTGGGTGTGGGTGCTGGGCCGAGGGTTGTCGTGGTGGCCGTCCGTGCGGCCACGGTGTTGGGGTCGGTGCACGCTGGACGGGAGCTGCATTGTTGCGTTGCCAAGATGGGGATGTGCGAGGACCAATACCTGCCATGTGCACTCATCGACATGTATAGTAAGTGCGGGCGGATTGACGAGGCGAGGCGGGTGTTTGATGGGATACCATGGAGGAGTGTCGTGGCGTGGAACACGATGCTGGCAGCATATTCGCTCCATGGGCGCAGTGAGGAGGCATTGGACTTGTACCACGATATGTGCGAGAGTGGTGCCGGCTTGGATCAGTTCACATTCTCGACGATGCTCAGGATTTTCTCTAGGTTGGGTCTGCTGGAGCATGCAAAGCAAATCCATGCGGGCCTGATTCAAAGTGGACTACAAATGGACATTGTCGGGAATACGTCACTTGTTGATCTGTATTGCAAGTGGGGTCAGATGGAAGACGCAAGGCATGTTTTTGAGAGGATGCCTAGCAGGAACCTGATATCATGGAATGCTCTAATAGCAGGGTACGGCTACCATGGCATGGGGAGTAAGGCTATTGAGATGTTTGAAAGACTGCTGGCTGAAGGCATTGCTCCAAACCATGTGACATTTCTAGGAGTACTAAATGCATGTAGGTTTTCTGGCTTTATTGACAAAGGGAAGAGGATTTTCCAATTGATGACCCAAAATCCAAAAACGAAACCACGTGCAATGCACTACGCCTGTGTTATCGAACTTTTTGGGCGGCAGGGGCTACTGGATGAAGCCTATTCAGTGATAAGGAAATCACCGGTCACCCCAACTGCCAACATGTGGGGAGCCTTGCTCACTGCTAGTAGGATGAACAAAAATATTCAGCTTGCTAGACTAGCTGCAGAGCAACTCTTGGCAATGGAACCTCAGAAAGTAAACAATTACATTGTGCTTCTCAACTTGTATATGAACTCTGGGAAACGGGATGAAGCTTTGACTGTAGTAAGCACCTTGAAGAGGGCGGGGTTATCTATGAGTGCTGCTTGTAGCTGGATCACAGTCAAGAAAAAAGATCACAGGTTTTTCTTTAATGATAGTCTCAATCCCAAGAGTTCAGAAATCTACCAAAGGCTAGATACACTAATGGAGGTGATAAAAGAACTTGGTTATGTTATTGAGGAGGATGAATTGCTCCCTGATATTCTCCCTGATGAGCAGAAGACATTGAAAATGTTCCATAGTGAAAAACTCGCAGTTGCTTTTGGCCTTATTAGCACATCTCCATCTGCTCCCTTGACGATCAACCAAAGCCATCGGCTGTGCCATGACTGCCACAATGTAATCAAATTTGTAACACAAGTTACGAAGAAAGAGATTACCGTAAGAGATGCTAGCAGGTTTCATCATTTCAAACTTGGAACATGCTCTTGTGGTGACTACTGGTAGCTAGGTATGTCCAACTGAATGATTATTCCGCCTTGGCTTATCTAAAGGCATTTTAATTCCTTGTGATCTAGGCATGCACTGCAATTTGATGCCACTAAAGCAAAGCAATTTATGATTAATCATTATATTCACTTTCTGAAGTATCGAATGTGAAATCTACACCAGAGTTGTTGCACTTGACCTGCAAGTTATTTCCTAGATGTTCTTTCTGGTTGCCCCCCAAGTGTGATACTCAAAACATGGCATATGACTGCTGGCATTGTTCTTTCATTGACTCATTGTTCGTTAATCAAAGCATATTTTCCGGTTTTATGAGGTTTCCTTAAATCTTTGCCTTGTCATGTCTGCTCGTGACTAAATATAGCAAAAATACTGCTAAACAAAATTTGCCGATGGCCGATGGTTCGGAGGTTCTGAAGCCAACTCTGGACTGGGAAAACTTGGAAAAGTAAATTAGTAATGTTTGAAGGTTCTGAAGCTAAACAAAATTAGTCAGCATACAAGGCTTGGTAAGCTTATAAGTTCTAAATCCATTTCAGATTTTGGAAAGGTAAATTACAAGTTTGATTCTCATTGATATGCATGTCTGCTGTGTCTTTCCTTGTTATTTCACTGGCGTCAAAACTTGTTTGCATGTCTTGGTAAATACCGTCTTATCACTCTTAACCTTTATGGCGTGCTAAGAAGAAAAGTATTTTCTTTGAGTACATCAGATCGATACTTTTCCCTGCGTTTTCGGTTTTCCACTGGCTTTACAAACCTTGTGTGAAAGAAGAATCTGGGTGGCTTTCGTACTGGAGATGCCAATATTTACTTGTGTCCTGCAAGGAAGGAATAAAGCTCAGGTGCAACAAAGGATCGAAGGAAAGTATAACACTTTGAGCATCTTTTGACAGCTTGTTTCTAACAGCGTCATAGATGGAGAAAATTCTCCTGTTGCACTTTTGCCCTGGTCTCTTTATTCAGCTCTTAGCAATATAAAGGGCCACAACTCCCTTCATTGTAAGCAGGCAATCTTTCCTCCCACCACTTCTGAGCTGATAGAAGTTTGAGAATACAGCTATACAAGATGGCCAAGATGATAGCTGCTGTCATTGTCTGCGTGTTAGTTTTAGCCCTGGATATCACTGCTGGCATACTAGGACTTCAGGCCCAGGCTGCACAAAACAAGGTACTGTTGCACTCAGATTTTCTTCATGAGATGTACTATTTTGAAATAAGGGTTTGATTAAACTGATGTTTTCGGCTGTTTCAGCTATTTCTTCATGGACAGTTGTTACTATAGAGTAGTTAAATGTGCTTCAAACGATAGTTCTTTCTGATGCCTGCTCTCATTTGATCTTCTTGGCAGACTAAAAAGGTGACAGTGCTCTTCATCCAATGCGAGAAACCTGTGTATAAAGCATACCAGCTAGGGCTCGCGGCAGCAGTGTTCCTGGTAGTTGCTCATGCAGTGGCCAACTTTCTCGGTGGCTGTGCCTGTATCTGCTCTCAGCTGGAGTTCATCCGGGCATCCATCAACAGGAAACTCGCAGCAACTCTTATAATTCTCTCATGGTAACTTCGCTCTCACCTTAAAACATTATTTTGCAAATCTATAAGCGACTTGAAAAAATGTGGGAAAGTGTCACTTCATTTGTGGAAGTAGAATCATGATAAGATATGAGATGCACCTTTTTTCTTCTCGAGAACACACAAAAGGGTTGCACGCCATTTCATTAAGCCAGAGAAGACAATTCTAACAGGATAGTTATACACTTAGTCAGACAAAAAAAAAACACCTGAGACTATGGTCTTGGAATTGCTACAGCTCTGTCGGTAATAATATTCTGGTCTTAAAAGTTTACGGGTAATAACCATTGTTGGATGTTCTGATAGGATTGCTCTCATCGTCGGCTTCTCGTTACTGCTTGCTGGGGCCATGTCCAATTCCAAGTCGAAGACATCATGCGGGTTCGTGCACGGCAAGACCCTGGGCCTGGGAGGGATCATGTGCTTCGTCCATGCGGGGATCACAGTCGCCTACTATGTCACCGCCACCGCAGCGGCACACGAAATTCATTAGGCCAGTAGGCATCGTGCGTGCCATGCTTTTGGCCAGGAGACTACGGTCTGATACTTTCTCCCAGGAGATAACCATTCTTTCCTTGATTGCTTTTGTTGTTCCGTATCTTTCAGTTTGTGGTTCGGCCCTTTACCTTTATATATACAACTCATGGAAGCATCAGGCTCCGGCTTGTATCAAAGTTGCGCAAAAAGGAATATGATTGTGGTTTGATTGATGCATCACTGTTTTGTTGTGAATGCTTGCCAAACAAACAATGCTGATGATCTTTCAGCAAATTCATATGTAATTTCTAAATTCTGTCGAGTGGTATCAAATAGCTCAAAGTAGTCCGAATTCCGAACGAATTTTGTCTGATAGTTATGATATGTTAAAGCACCGAATCAAAATTATAAACATTGCATTTCCATTTTCGCTATGCAGAAACTGGCCCGTGAGGCTCACTGATCTGTGATTCAACCTTCTTTGCCAAACAGAAGATCTTTGCTTTTCCTAGGCAAGGCAGTTGTATGAAAGGAGTAAACCAGCACATCATCTAGTGCAACATATAGACCAGATGATGGTAACAATCAGCTTCTATTTATCAAGTAGTTACAGTGCAGGTCTATACAACACAGTTACTATTGACAGCCCTCGACACCAGTCAGCACTCACCACCATACACAAAACTGCTCAAAACTTCACCTTCCTATCCACTAGTTCCATGCTTGATCAGGTACTTTTCGTATCAACAAAACAAAAGAATTGCACAAATCGAAAGAAGACAAGCCAGGAACAACAGTAGGGGGGAATTTTGGTTAGTTTCCATCAGACGTCTGGAAGTTCAGAGACACTGCCGACTGATTCCTGTCTCTGATGACCAGAGGCAGATGACTGATCTTCTGATGCCTCAAGGTCAACAGATTCGTCATCTGTCCTGCCCGGTGGAAGTCTCCTGCCATGATGATTCCTGCTGCTGTGGCTGTGTTTCACCACCCGGATCAGTGCCTGGACAACATCTCGCATCGACGGTCGCTTTCGGGAGACACGGCTTACACATTTGTAAGCCGCGGCAGCCATGTCATTGAGCTCCTCCACATCAAATGCGCCTTCTAACCGAGAGTCGGCAATTTCCTCCCACCCAGTCTTGCCATCAGCGTTGATTGCAGCCTGATCATAGATTGCATTATAGTCAGCATTTACAACCATAGTGTCTCAGAAACTAAATTCTGCAACAAAAATAAAGGGTGACATCCTTACAAGCTCAACATATTCCATTAGACCTTGTTGAGGGTTTCTGCCAGCAATAAGTTCAAATAGCAGAACACCGTAGCTGTACACATCACTCTTCTTTGTGAATGATCGTGAGGACACGTACTCCGGATCAAGATATCCGTAAGTTCCACGTATGTTGGCCCCGTTTCTAGTAAGCATTTCTTTTGACAATCCAAAGTCGGCAACCTGGCCAACAAAGAATGCCCCATGTCTAGGAATAAAACTTCCAAACAGAAAGGCAACAGAGGGAATGCTGCAAGCAAACCTATTATCTTTGGACATCAGAAAACTCATGTATCTTTACAAGCAAAGGCTTAAACACATATCAGAAGACTCTTGATGTGTATTTTATATATAAAGAACTCAACCAATGGGCACTAGCACCTGTGACATTTTTAATTAGAAAAAGCAATAATGAGCAAATCCAGCAGAGGCCAGGCCTCGAACATGAGTAGGCTGGGCATGCAGTCGCACCTCGAGCAAACTGAGCAATGCTCATATCTCCTTATAAGCTTAGGCTATTTGAGAAACAGGCTGATTAAGCAAAGAATGTTCCGTGATTTTTTTTTCTTTGGCATATTCAGTAAGTACACTACTACATTGGTTATGCTTCTAGACATTAATAAGTTGGTATTTAACTTTAAATTAAACCCCTATCTGAGATAAGGAACAAATGATGACAACATATAACATCATAAACAAAGTCACCATGCTGCTTCCAGTGTATAGCTGTATGCAGGATAAAGTACAGACCAATGTCGGTAGTATGAGTTAAGAATACAGAGGTGCAAACTGAGAGACAAATAATTGGAATGTTATAGCTAATTGCTGCAGAGGTGATGAATACAATTGTTCAACATGTCATGGATACTATGACAAATTACAGAGATGTACGGCATACCCTAGCATGCATGGACTGATCCAGTAAAATGTTTGGTGATTTGATGTCCCGATGAACTACTGGAGGAACAGCCTGCACTAAAGTTAAGCCAGATGAAGTAATGTCTTCGTATTACATCATGGATCATGATTCAAATTATGAGTTACAACAGCTTACCCCATCATGTAGGTATTCCAACCCCCTAGCAACATCTACAGCTATATTTACCCTCAAATCCCATCTCAGTGGTGCACTGTTTTCACCTGAATTCACAGAATGTCTTCAGAAAAAAAAACAGTATCTAAATGTAACATGTGATACTCTGGCTGTAGATGTGCACTCTTATAAAAGATAGATTGACAAGACAAATCACTCCATTAAGCATAACTACAAAATTTGAATATTGTCTATTGACTTCATTCACATGGAAATCACTGGCCTTCTTTATCTGATAAAATCAGCTAAAAGGGTGGTGGTTATTTTACCGAGTGATCAAAAACTATCAGTCAAAAGGGAGAAAGCATCAAATATTGATGTATTGCAAGACTGTAATTACTGCTCCCTCCGATCCATATTAATTGTCGCTGGATTAGTACAACTTTAGTACAAAGTTGTCCTAAACCAGCAACATTTAATTAGGACCGGAGGGAGTATAAATTATTTTACTTCATGAATTTCATATGACCGTGTTCTTACAAAACTTTTTGTAACATTTTAAAGTTTAAACAGAGTTATGGTAGCAACAAAGCATGAATGTGCCCAAGTAATTACTGTAAGGAGTGTTATTACAAATACGCAATGGAGAGAATAAATACCGTATAAGTGTGATGCAAGGCTCCCATTAGGCATGTATGCATATAACAGAATGTGTTGCCCTTTTTCAGCACAGTAGCCAACCAAGTTCACCAGATTCCTGTGGTGTAATCGCCCAAGAAGTAAGACCTGAAATTAGTTATCCATCAAATTACCAGGCATGCCCATCTCTAGCCATCTATAAACATTAGCTTACCTCATTTTGGAACTCCTTTTCACCTTGCTTTGAATTGTTAGCAAGTACTTTAACAGCCAGTATCTCACCAGATGACATGTCAGCTTTGTAAACAGGACCAAAGGCTCCTTGGCCCAACAGTTTTGTGAAATTGCTGGTAGCTTTCTGCAGTTCCCTAGACAAAAGAAAATAATGTTCAAAGATTAAATTAAACTAAAAGAAGACACAGTTTCGTGATCATAATTAAATCAGCATAGTTATGTGAAGATACGGTTCCAGGGTCACACTTAAATTAGCAAATTTGAGATAACTTACAGAAAGTATAATAATAACTGATTTTCCCTATTAGGATGGCCCCTTTTCTTGCTAATATTTATGGTCCAGCATTTTATCACAGCCTCCTTATATTTATAAACTACAGTATCTCACTGGGCGTGTATGCGACATGTTTTCCTATCCTTCACTCTCGTTTCTTCTCTCTAAAGAAGATCAGGTAGAATTTTTTGTGTGCATTTTCTCTTTCTATTACAGACCAACCATCATTATTTTCTCCAGTTCCCACCATCCCATGGAAATTTCCACTCTGACATCTCAACAAGACAAAAAAGTAAAAAAAGGAACCCTTGGAGTTGGTAGTTCAAGGCATATAAAAGTCCAAAAGAGGATAACCAACCTATGACAGGAGCTTCATTTTAGAACCGACAATAGATAACTTATCAAGATCCTAAAATAGATCAGTTATTTGGAAGCAAATTTTGTAGGGCCTAGTTAATGATACAACTATGAATATTGCAACCATGAGAATAGAGAAAGATCAAGGGAACATACTTGTACGCATATTTGGGTATCCCAGAAGCTGATATTAGGCTCTTCCTTCCAGGCCCTTCAATCCACAGAGATGGTCCACGATCTTCAAACTCTCTCGGCGATTCCTGCCCTGTAGTTGAGGTCGACAGCTCTGCACATGTATTAACACCATTCGCGCGGATGGGGATAGTTGATGACCTCCTCGAGCTACTGCTCCTTATTTGCGCCTGAGAACGCCGATACCTCATGCACAGGAGTATTCCAACTGCCAGCAGCACCCCTATCACCACACCAACCGTGGTACCAATGATCAGACCTTCAGAAACCCCATTCATTCTCCCCCAATTCAGTTTCAGATCCTAGCACCTAGGATATTGCGTCCACCACATGGAAGCCCTGACGAGGAACAAGACCAACAGCTGTGTCTGCCCTGCCAACAAGTACAATAGGGGATAGTAAATTGGAAGCCTGGAACAGTGACAGCATGTGGCTTAGCACATTAGGTGGCTATCTGGGTCAACATCATGAAATGGAAATGCAATCTTTAGGCAAACTTTGCCATCTCAACTGATGTCACATCAAAATATCAGATCTTTGACAACCACGGGGACACCACTGATAAGGCACAAAGTTAAGAGCTAATTTATTCACGCCAAGTCATATTACACAGAAACGGTGGATATTACTGGTGAACTAACTTCCAAACTGAGAAATTGCTTTTCATAGGCCTTTTTGTCGTGAACTAATTTGTCATTAGTACCACACAAACATACAAAATAATCTCAATTTACATAAAAATTACACCATTTGCTATGAAACAACTGAAGAATAGCCGCGACTCTCTACAGTAGTTTTATACAACAATACGTAGTACGAGTACTAAGATTTGGGGGATTTTTCGTCGTAAGAACTCAGAAAATGTCACCTGATGGCGCAACGCTTATCTCCACAAACACTTAAATCACCAATGCAAATCACAGAGGCGTCAACTTCCACTTCGAATGTGCTGAACCTAACGCCATTAAAATCAACAAACCCAGGGGAAAAAACTTCCTGGAAGTACACACTAGAAACGATCCAACGTTGGAACGAGCAGGAAGCCTAGAATAGCGAGGCATAAACTGGCGGAAGAACCACCAAACCCAAGAAAAGATCGTATGAACCGACGAAACGAACTCGGAACCGCGCCTGCCAATCCAAAATCAAGAAACCGAATTATTAAAGAAACTTACAGGAGCGGACTACCTGAATGCGGGCGGAGACGGGGTCGCGGGCGGGTGAACTCGCGCTTGTTCGGATCGGTTCCAGGCGGCGATCCCACCGGAGAATGCCGGCGGATTGGGGTGGAAACCGTCCGGGAAGATTTGGTGCTGGCTTGGTGTCCAAGAGAGGTGAGAGAAAGACGACTTTCGAGAGTGTAGCTTCCTGTTGAGAATAAAGCAAACAAAACAGGGGGAAAAAGAAGAGAAAAGACAGGTCAGGAAAAAAAGGAGAAAAAGGTAGGGGCTGGGGGTAGTTTTGTAATCGTGCATGAGTTTCAAATGCATAGCATCTACAACCATGGACAGCAAATCCGATCCCTCAAACGTCCACGAACATACCCGGATACCCCATACTAGAAACTTTAGATCCATATAAAAGCATGCAAACAATAAAATTCATGTACTACATAAATCAAATAACCTATACTACCCTAATCTTCGCCAGAAATGTTCACTATCTCCTTGCCCGGCTCCGAATACATGGGCCTCAGCCGCATCTCCGGCTCCTGCGCCTCCTCCGCATCTGCCTCTGCATCTGTTTCCGCTTCGATCTCATTGAAAAGCGTGTCGGTGTTCCTGCCGAATGAGCTGTCAATTGGCCTCCATATAGGCCTCATCCTGGATGGACCGATGGACTCCAGGATACCCTGCTGCTCCGCCATCTCGGCCGCTTGGGCAACCGCGAACTTCGCCTCCACGTCCTCCATGTTGAAGCCTGGAGCTCGAGCCGACGCCAGCTCCTCCTCCTTCGGCTGCTCCGCCTCCTTCGGAGCCGGCTGTTGTTCCTCTTCCTCCTCTGCCTCCAGCTGCGATGCGTGCGACACGTGCGACGCGCCTCGCCCGGATCTCCTGCTCAATCTGGAACTGGCTCTTCGGCGTGAGCATAGCATAGGTGGTCTTCTTTTGCCAAACCATGGCGATGCCGGGCGGCGGAGCGGGAGAGAGGTGGTGGATGGGTTCGGGCTGGCGAAGCGGGAGAGAGGTGGTGGATGGGTTCGGGCTGGCGGCGCGGAGAAGGAGTAGGTGGATGTGGCTAGGGTTGGGGGACACGAACCGACTTAAATAGCCAGATTTGGCCTCGGGTCACACCCCCAAGTGGAGGAGACGTTCGTCGGACCACCAAATTTTTGGACGATTCCATGTGAGACCCCATCTCCAGTCTGACTTGGCAGGCGCGTCCAGGAATCCCCATATCCACCCCATATTTGGGCTGGATATGTGGGATGCCGGTCAACCTGAGTGTTTGAGGCTCGTTTAAGGAGCCCCTTTAGGTCACGTTTTTGTGCCCAGACTGTCCGCCCAGAAGTTTGAAACGGGTTTGGGACGTCTGGCTCTAGATACTCTTAGAGCTTTCAAAATACTACTATACCACGAGCCTCAACAAATTTGGGGCTTGTCAAAGGTACACTGTGGTTCACCTATTTTAGAGCATGATTGGTCAATGTCAAAAATTGGCATGCAAATATTTTTTTAGCATCAGTATAGACACAAGCGCTCATATACACGCGCATACACTCACCCCTATGAACGCACACACGCACACCCTACCCCGGGAACGTCTCCTTCCACTGAAAGTGCATCGCCGGAAATCCTGAAATAAATTCAGAAATAATGCGAGCATCAGGATTTGAATACTGATGGGTTAGGGATACCAGGGTCCACCTAACCAACTCAACCACAGGTTGATTCGCGGCATGCAAATATATTGACCTAATGTCAAACGTTGGCTAGTGACTTTTTGGCTACTAACTTTTCTCTATCAACCTCAGAAATACATGTGTTTTCGTAACTTTTGACTGTGCCAATTGTTAGTATCAAACCAGCTATGCTCTAACTTACATGATCATCTATGTTCCCATCTTTTTCTACACCAGAGAAAATACAACAATTCTTTAGAGCTTTCAAAATGTTATACAACTATATCAACAATTTTGTAAAAAAAAAACGTTCCAAATACACATTCGTAGTTTTGCATATAAATGGGCTCGTCACTATCTTACATGATCGTCTTTGTTCTGATCTCTCTCTATTCCATGTTCTCCTAACCTACTGTCATAGCCGGTTTGCCATATATTTCGACGTCCAGCCCGATAAATTTTGGGAGAGCCAATGGCAGGTCGCCACTCAATTGATGGCGGGGTTCTTATCTTCCCTGCCACCAAGAACATGCACTATCATCAAGCATGTATCTTTCTTTGTTGATGTTTATACATCAATGCTCTCGCCACATCTTTTGTGACACCCTATACATGGTTTCCTGCAACTCTCTGCTAAGTTAAGGCTCACCAATATTAGCACTCTCCTTGGGCGTGTGGACATCTTTCTTTTAGAAAACTTTCGCAACGTTGTCATCACCCTTCTTGGAGCCAGGCAAAACTTATTGTAGTAGACAGTCAAAAAGTCGTCGCATTAAAGACCTATAAGACCAGCGCACCAGAACAACAACCACCGTTATTGAAGAGAAGGTTATATGGGAAGGGTCCAACATGTAGATACACGAATAAGGACCAGATCTACGTGGATCCACCGAAGACAAATACCGACCAAATCCCGCGAGATCTACCAAAGACAAACCTCCGCACGCCCTCCAATGACGCTAGAAGCATCATCGAGACGGGAGCTAGACATGTAGAGTCTTATTCCATCTTCAGAGAGCCGCCGCCGTCTCATCTCTCTTTGCAGGACATAAACCATAAGAAAGCTCTGAAAATCATCCAAAAATTAAGCCCTCTCGACCGCAAGGGCCGACATTTACCACGCCTCCATGGCCCTAAGGCCAAAGAAAACGAGGCAGACCAACGGCGCGGGAGGAACTCTAGTGGCGGCTGGGTACGAGGGTTCTTTGCCCTGGCGGCTAGGAAACCTTTATATATCTATACCTATTATATCTGTCCTCGTTTACTAGTCCTCTTTGTATTTTGTGTCAAATTTTAACCATAGAGTTAATTAATAAAATTTTAATGCATATCACCAACGTATTTGAACATAATTTTTAATGATATATTTTTTGATGACATGCATGTTAATTAAATCAATGGTAAAAATTATATACTAAATACGAAGGGGACCTATAAACGAAGACGGAGGCAGTACTATTAAAGTTGTATGGGCACCCTTTTTATGAAATCCTCCTCTTCGTGTGAGCAAACATGATTTGATCTCTGATTATTTTTGCTTAGGTTGTCTTATGTATTGACCGACATAGACACCGCTCTTCAATATAATCGCCTTGCTTGTCACATGTTCTCTCTTACTTGCTGCATTTTTAGCGTACACTATTATTACTGAGCTAAGATGCATTTTGAATTTTTAACTCTAAAATAGTTGTTTCCTTTTTATGGGAAAACTCTAAAATAGGTGTTTATCATAGCGTGCGAGAATTTCAGACAACCACTCGTCGATGATCTGGATCACATGCTTTAGGACTCCTTTGGATGGTAGAGATTTTAGAGGATTTTTTTAATCCAAAGCATATTTTGCATGCGAAATTGCTGTGAGAACGACACATCTGCACGACAGCGGGACGATGCCCGATCCAACGGTCGGCTGCACTTAATTGATATGCATAGACGGATTGATATACGATGTCGTTCACACATCGTCTGAAAATCATCGTATGCAGAGCAACACTCTTTTGTATGAGGGCCATTTTGATCATGGGATTGGGATCACTATTTTTTAACGGTATCCGTTTTTTATCTCTCTATTTAATAGGATTCTGAATAAAAAGCTCACACCTCCTTTTTCTTTTCTTTGTGAAGTCCAACAACCTACACTTTATCTCCTTAATCCTAAAAAACTTCTATGTTTACTTTCTTCTTTTGTGAATCAAACTTCTATGTTTACTTCATGTGCGCAATACGAAAACATCAATTAGAATTTCCTGTGGTTCGAAAGTCTGTACGAATTCATAGTAGTATTATATGATATCATAGTCCTGTGTTTTTTACGGTTTCTAAACTCGTGCGACTCAATTGGCCTTGAGCCTACACAAGGATTGTTTTTTTTAGGATCATACGGGGATTGTTTTCTTCTTGAGACAAAAGGCGAAAAGGCAAAAGCGTGCAATTTGCACGATATTTTTTTGACGAAAGGTATTTGCACGAATTTTGAGCATCCTCGAGACGTGAGCTCAACTCTCAGCTGCGGTGCCGTGGGCCCTGCGGCACCCGGCACATATTGGAATGACCGAACTGCCCTTCGTCCCCTTGTCCACTCCGGTCGGTTCAGCGATTGTTGACTTCCTTCCCCCCGACACCAGCGAACATGGAGGAGGAGAATCAAATTAAGGGCCACGAACCGGCTCCTGACCCGGCCTTGGCTCACTGACTATCCGGCCCAGACGTTCCGTTGGGTCCACGTGTCAGTGTCCTGGTGTATTGGTGGTATAGAAAGTAAGCGTAAAGGCTTGCGATTAGTGATAATGGGCCGGGGCGCCAAGTCCGGAACCTGCCCCTCCTGCCTGCTGCATCAGTCTAATCCATTTTGATTCAGCGAATAATAAAATGACGGTTGCAAAATGCAAATCACAAATGTTGAGGCCCGGTACGGAAATACAACTCCCTCTGAACTAAAACCACAACACTGGTTTTGGATTGGAGGGAGCACAAATTTATAATATTTTAACGAAATAGTCCAAATATATATGGGATGAAATTGCGGTTGTTAATAGTAGTAGTGCTCTACATGCGTCGTGCAAACTCGTATGAAATTACATGGAGTATGTGAGTGCCGGCTGATGCATGCGTCGTGCTCCACATCTTTAGCTGATTTTTTTTATGTGGGTACTCCCTCCATAAAGAAATATTATAGCGTTTAGATTACTAGAGTACCTAATAGCTTGCTCATACTACATCTTTAGCTGATTCTATTTGAAGATCATTATTTCTGCTGATTTTATTACTAGTAGTACTAGAGAACATTGGCTTGTGATCGACCACATGGTCGTTGGGAGTACACATGCAATGGATGCTTGACTTGCGGAAGCACGTAGGAGACATGTACGCACATAACGACCTGCGATTTCCTTATACAGGTACACGCACCGCATGATGGCGTATCCATGTGCATACATATGCATTGTTATAATTATGAATGGCGACGCTAACATGCATGCCTGCATGTCAATTGGCCGATAGATCGTCCCATGCCCTCTTCCAAATGGATCAATCGGGACATGCCCATAACTATAACTTTACCAAATGGGCCCAATTAGAGCAACTTTAGCAGAGTCGGGAACCGATTGGCATAACATTCGTCGACATGGTGATTTTGATCTAAAAATGGCACTATAACAAAGTCGTCGTACGCTTTCATGTCGCCATTATTATAGAGTGCGCGTCATATCCAGCTAGCGGGCCTCCATATTTGGAGGTTGTAACATTGGCTTGGAGCGCGCCATCCACCAACCACTCACGTGGGTGAAGTTTCGGCCCGGCATGTTCCTCCCACGCACAGCTCGATCAATGGTGCGGCCTTCAGTGTGGCCGTTGCTTCTGCCTCGGGCAATGCCTCAACCGCTTATCCATCAAAGAAGAACACCAATTAATCGTTGTCACCGGCTCGTCTGTTTTGCATCATTTTTCCACCCGTACACGGTAAATCGCCCATGTTTTCCATCGGAGCGTGCCCATTCGTAGGTATATAACCTCCATCGCCCCCTTCATCGGCACTACCACATCCACTCTATTTCCCCATCCCCGTCTTCGACACCCTCACCTCCATTGGCCCCCTTCATCGTCCCCTACGCCTCACCCTCTCTTCTTTCGTTACTATGTTGGTGCGGTTGTGCCCTCCCCGCGGACCTTTCCCTGGCTAGACAGTTCTAGGAGAAGGAGTGGGACTTATCCGAGTGGCTAGACAATTCTAAGGTTGAGTTGGCAGTCGGCCGCGCCTCTCTCCCTGTCGCCCTCGAGTAATTTCCTCCGGATATCGACAACCACCGGCGCAAAAATGAAAATTGTGCTCACGCTAGCCTTAAAAAATGTTGTCGTATCACAAGCTTCCGTCGATCGCGTGGCCGTGGAAGTCGTGGTGGCCAAAGCCTCCCCCACCTGTGAGGTCACTTCCAAGAGAAGGAAGAGCCCGTAGTTAAATCAATCGAAATCTATTTTACAATCCTTCTAGAAATCTATTTTGGAAATCATTGTTGAAATCCTAGCTCAAAAATTTTCATTGTTGAGGTGGGGAGGGAAGATGTCTTCTAACCACTAGTAAAATGGGTCCCACATGAAAAAAATGGAGGCAGCTAGTATGATGATTCCGTGTTTGCGCCTTTGGCTCATTAGCCTTCATATCCATATAGAGCAAGCTCCATAGCGATGTGGAGGCTGCCAATATGGCGAATCTATTGGAGTTGATCTTATGTCTTTCAACAGATGGATTCTCTCGAGAATTGATATGTCTCCATCGTATCTATAATTTTAGATAGTTACATGCCAATATTATACAAATTTCACATATTTTTGGCAACATTTTTTATGATTTATTGGACTAACAAATTGATCCAGTGCCCAGTGCCAGTTCCTATTTGTTGCATGTTTTTTGTTTCGCGGAATATCCATATCAAACGAAGTCCAAACGCGATAAAAATTTATGGAGAATTATTTTGGAATATATGTGATTTTTGGGAGGTGGAATCAACGCAAGCGGAGGCCCACAGCCTCCATAAGACACCATGGCGCGACCTCCCCCCTAACGCGTGGTGGTGCCTTGTGGGCACCCTGTAAGTCGGTTGGGGCTCTTCTTCGGGCCCAAGCAAGATAATTTATGGGAAAAATCGTGTAAAAATTTCAGCACAATTGGAGTTACCGGATCTCCGGGAATTTAAGAAACAGTGAAGGGCCAGAAAACAGGAACGTGAAACAGAAGAGAACAGAGGGAGAGATCCAATCTCAGAGGGGCTCTCACCCCTCCGCCGCCATGGAGGCCATGGACCAGAGGGGGAACTCTCCTCCCATCTAGGGGGAGGCCAAGGAAGAAGGATAAGGAGGGGGGCTCTGTCCCCCTCTCTCCCGGTGGCGCCGGAACGCCACTGGGGCAAGGATCGTGATGACGATCTAGATCAACAATCTTGCTAACGTCAACACCAACTTTCTCCCCCTCTATGCAACGGTGTAACCTCTCTATTCCCACTGCAATTCTCTACTTAAACATGGTTCTCAACACTATATATTATTATCCAATGATATGTGGTTATCCTATGATATTTGAGTAGATCGGTTTTGTCCTATGGGTTGATTGATGATCGTGATTGGTTTGAGTTGTATATTTTATTTTGGTGTTGTCCTATGGCGCCCTCCGTGCCGCGCAAACGTGAGGGGTCCCCGATGTAGGGTGTTGCAATACGTTCATGATTCGCTTATGGTGGGTGGCTAGAGTGACAGAAGCTTACGCCCGAGTAAGGGGGTTATTGCATATGGGAGTAAAGAGGACTTGATACTTAATGCTATGGTTGGGTTTTACCTTAATGATCTTTGGTAGTTGCGGATGCTTGCTAGAGTTCCAATCATAAGTGCATACATGATCCAAGTACGGAAAGTATGTTAGCTCATGCCTCTTCCTCATATAAAATTGCAATAATTATCACCGGTTTAGTTATCGATCACCTATGGACAAATAACTTTCTTGTGTGATAAAAACCTTCTTTACTAAACAACTAACTTTTATTA